TAGGTGTGCTTTTAGGGCTCTGCAACCCTGAGTTGGGTGCCCTTCTTCATTGTGGTAAGCACAACGCCTACCGACGTTTCTTCCCATAAATTCCCCTGGTGTTCTTGTCGGTCCTCTGAAATAGGGTTGGTTTCGTATTTGATCCAGGACTTTGTGGATCGGGGCTAGGAATATAGTTGTCACTGCCTGTTTAGCCCTCAATTCCGTTTCTTGTTTGATCGGTCCATTGTTACCTCGGCTTCGCTTCGGCGGGCCGTTTCCTTTCTCCTGCTTTGTCTCTTTGTTTCCCGATGTATCCTTCTCGGCTCTGGTGTACTTCTCGATTCTCACCATGAGTTCTTCCATGCTTTTTGGCAATGTTTTTGCCAAAGACTTCCGCAGTGGATAGTCATCTTTCAGGCCGTTCTTGAAAGACACGACCGCCACTTCTTGGTTGCATTCAGGTATTCGATTGAACACCTCATAGTATCTTTTTGCGTAGGACCTAAGGCCTTCATCCTTGGTGATTTTTAAAGCCATCAGTGCGTCGACCCTCAAGGGCTGTAGTTTGTTCGTCACAAACCTGGCCACAAACATCTCGGCCAGGCCTTCCTAAGTCTTTACGCTTCCCTTCGGTAGTTTATGGAACCAATCTGATACAATCTCCCCGAAGGATGAGGGGAATACTTTGCAGAGCAACGGCTGGTTCCCACTATATAATGCCATTGAATTTAAGTATAGTCCAACATGAAAGTTGGGATCTGACTTACCATCATATATTTGGAACCTCGGCATACTAAATCTCTTTGGTGCTTCAAATTTGTCTAGTTCCACCGAGAATGGTGTCTTCGGCTTAACCGGGGAAATTACCTCGGCTTCAGCATTCTGTTGCTTCCTCTTGAGGTAATCTCTCAAGTCTTCTTTACTCCTCCCTAGAGCTCGGCTATCTTTGGACATCAATCTTTTCGGCACACTACTTTCGGCCTCGTGGTGGGTCCGTTTTGATCTTTCTCCATGGGTTGTGTCAAAGCAGAGAGTCTGCCCTTGAACATGCCAATGTTCTTTGGGCTCTAGGTCCTTCGTGTGATACGTCCTGCGGGACTCCTCTCGTCTTGGCTCCTCTCGTCCGATTTCCCTGGAAGGTCGGTGAGAGTGCCTTCCGCTCCTGGTGTGCTGAAGGGCTTCGGGGATTGTTTTTGTTCTTCCCTTCTGGGTATTAGTTGCTGGAATCGGCGTATCGTGCAGCGGGTACGGTGGCTGCATGACATTATTTTGCATCATGAAGTTGACGACCGACTGCAGGTCTGCCAACTTGTTTGCCAATTCTTTTACTTTTTCATCCCTCCGTAGACACCTATCCCTCCATACCTAGAGGTTATCTTCGTTATAGTACTTGTTTTGGTCTGTCTTCTTCGAAGTGTCACCCTCCTGGCCGGCGTTTTTCTCTCCGTGGCCCTGGTCACGAGTTTCTGCATTGTTGTTGTCTCCTTCAGTATTAAGGTCGATAGGTCTGCCACTCCCAGCAGGAGTGCCGTCCCCAATCTTTTCCTTCTGTCCGTTACTGGCCATCTATTCTTCTAAGTTCCCACAGACGGTGCCAAATTGTGTGAGTAATTTTCTGACCACACTGCCCATTTAGTAATCAGCTAGAGAGTACCGGCAGAATAGATGGCTTCAGTTAACCTGTAACAGAAAGAAAAGGCTCCGGCGGTGGCTCTTCCACCCGGGGGCACTCCAACGATCAAGTCAGTATATCTCTAAAAAATAATCAAGTACTAAACTCACTACTAAAAACATAAATTGCGTACCTTAGACCCACGGGGGTGCCTCTCTTTTATAGTTACCTCAATCCAAATCCCCATAGAAGCCTGACTTCTATGAATTCCTGTTTAGTACTTACCTTGGACTCTTCAAGAGATAAAGATAAACTCTCTAAGAGTTTTATCCTTATCTTGGCTAAATCTCCTCTTTATTCTAGGACTCTTGTCCATTATCTTTTATCCACTTATCTCAGATTCCGATATCTTCGGAGATAACCTCGGCCTTGCCGAGATCACCTCGGCGTCACGACCAGGACACGTGGCACCTCGACCTCGACTGATACGTCAGCGTCACCTTGCCACGTGTTGATACTCAGAAAATATATCCTCATAGATAGTTTTTCAAAAATTCTCAAAATCTTTGCATTGTTCATTCTATATTCAAATTTGGTTAGATAATCAAAATCTTTCAATAATGGAGATCGAGGCTGTTTCTTCATGGTGTCTAGAAGTTCAAGAAAGCTAACTGAGTGAAGTTATGCTCGTAGAGTAACTACAAGTCACCATTGTTTTGTGGCTTTTTTGGGGCTTTTTTGGGGCTTTTTTGGCTATTTTAGCCACAAAAGACAAAATAGGCTATTTTAGCCACAAAAAACAAAACATCACATCCAACCCATAATCATTACGTTCTTTTCTCACAAAAAAATTCCAAAAAGCCAAAAAGCCCTTCTCAAACTAAACTTTTTAGCCCAGGCTAAAATATAACCTGTAACAGAAAGAAAAGGCTCCGGCGGTGGCTCTTCCACCCGGGGGCACTCCAACGATCAAGTCAGTATATCTCTAAAAAATAATCAAGTACTAAACTCACTACTAAAAACATAAATTGCGTACCTTAGACCCACGGGGGTGCCTCTCTTTTATAGTTACCTCAATCCAAATCCCCATAGAAGCCTGACTTCTATGAATTCTTGTTTAGTACTTACCTTGGACTCTTCAAGAGATAAAGATAAACTCTCTAAGAGTTTTATCCTTATCTTGGCTAAATCTCCTCTTTATTCTAGGACTCTTGTCCATTATCTTTTATCCTCTTATCTCAGATTCCGATATCTTCGGAGATAACCTCGGCCTTGCCGAGATCACCTCGGCGTCACGACCAGGACACGTGGCACTGGCACCTCGACTGATACGTCAGCGTCACCTTGCCACGTGTTGATACTCAGAAAATATATCCTCATAGATAGTTTTTCAAAAATTCTCAAAATCTTTGCATTGTTCATTCTATATTCAAATTTGGTTAGATAATCAAAATCTTTCAATAATGGAGATCGAGGCTGTTTCTTCATGGTGTCTAGAAGTTCAAGAAAGCTAACTGAGTGAAGTTATGCTCGTAGAGTAACTACAAGTCACCATTGTTTTGTGAACATAAGTAAATGTTGTAAGTCTTTTTGAATATATCTTATATTCTTTGATCTCATAATAGATTTTTGTTGAGGGTTGAATTCTTTGTCCTTCTAAATTTTTTCACATAATCTTGTGTACTTGTGTGATTAATTGTGCACGTGTTAATTAGGTTAATACGTTGAACATAAAATAATTTTTTTTTTAATTAGTTAACCAATTCACCTCCTCCAGGCACATTTTAGATCCTAATATTTCAGTTTGTTTTTTCAAATAGCAAGGCATTGTTTGGTAAGGTTTATAGTTTCCTATTTTAATTTTTTTTTAGAAAATATTAGACATGTTTATGTTTATTTTTAGTAAAATAAAAATTAAAAATATGTTTAGTACACAAGTGTTTTGAAATTTTGTTTGGAAGACAAGTGAAAGGGTGACTCGTCAGAAATGATCGTTGACAATCAGAAATTGCGTTCAAAGGTGATTGTCGAGCACCGAAAGTGGTTGGTGACATTCAAAGGTAGTGGTGGTCAAATATGAATATGAGAAAAAGAAGGTGATCAAAAGTAGTTACTGTTGGTAGAAAGTGGTTGTTAGCTGGAGGAGGTGGTCACTGGAGGAGGTCATAGGCGGTGGTTGTTACTCATGAGTAGTGGATGGTTCTCGGAATAAGTTGAAAATAAAAGATAGAAATGAAACCAATTTTTTTGTGTTTACAACAAAATTAATAAATTTTGTAAATTCTTCACAATTTTTTGAATATGAGAATAGACACCAAGAGACTTTTTGTTTATAGGCTTTGTTTGACTATGTTGGTTCGGACTAAAAAAAGTATAAAAAAATAAAATAGATTAAGGCTTCGTTTGGGAATATGTTTTTTTAGCAATTTTTTGGCTTCTTAGGCCAAGTTTGGGAAGACTAAATACGTGCACTTTTTGTCTTTTTGGACTAAAAAATTGAGGTTGAAAATATGGATGTTTGGGTTAACTTTTTGACTTTTTATTGAAAAATGTGTAATAAAAAATTGTAAAAATTGATTTGTAGGAAAAAATTTGAATTGGGAGTTGTGCAGCCGTAATTGTTGACTTTTGGTGAATAGTGTTAACTTTTTAACTTTTTGAGTAACTTTTTGGCTTTTTGGCTTTTTTGGAACATCCCAAACTTGGCCTTAGTTAAAATGTGATGTAAAAAAAGTAGTATGTTTATGATGATTTTTTGACTTTTTACGAAAAGATGTGTAAAAAGTAGAGAAAAAAATAAAATTTTTGATTTTTTAGTATGGGTTGTTGGCTTTTTAATTTTTTTTAGTGATTTTTTTGGCTAAAAAAGTCACATGGCAAACGAGGTCTAAATAAGTTAATAAGATAATATCACATTCAAATCATAATCATTTTACTTTTTTTTTTCTCATAAAAGTCAAAAATAAAAAAATATTTTGTCAAACGTACTTTCAGTCTCAAATTAAAAAAATTTCAACTCTAAAAAGTAAAGTACAATTTATTTATTTATTTATTTATTTATTCTTCTAAACGACGACATAGTTTCAAAATTTCTGGTTAAAATTTCAGTTCCGTATTACTTTAAAAGTGATATATAAATCCCAATTATAGAACAAAAACTATAATAAGTTAAATTCTAACTGTCCATATTACACTGTTACTATGAGAAAAACACTTAAATAAAATAAAAAATATAAAAATATAAAATTGAAACGCGTACGCTATATAAAAATTGTGTAAAAATTTATATAGTTTATCCTTAATTCAATTCCAGCTCTCAATTTGCAAAATTTTCAATCATTTGCACTTTTGGGAAACATTGGATAACAATAAGTAGGGACTATTACTTTTTGTCTGCCTGATAAACTGAAATTCAAACTACAGATATCGTTTGTATATATGCGTAACTGGGTATAAATAAATGAATAAATTTCATTATTTTTTACTCTCAACCGTGTCAAACAAAACAAATGAATGAATCAAAGAATTTCTCTCATAAGACTACATAGTTTACAAACAATCTATACATATGATCTTATCATCTCAGACCAGAGTCGAGCAAGAAGAGGTTGAAGGATCAAGCAATGCAGGAAGCAAGTACTTTCTCCCGTTAACACCGTGGGCATTATAGCTAGCACCAGTAGTGGAGTCCACCAGCAAGTCACCAGGATAGCCTGGGTAGGCCCCCTTTCCATAAACCCCGGGACAAGCGGATGCCGCCTCCAGAGGCGCATCTGCTGGTCCCTGGTAGTAGCCATTTCCAAATGGGTTTGTGGCAGTTGCAGCCAAGAGGCTAGCTAGGTTAATAGCCATGCCGTCCAGACCCACATCATTGTTGGGTGCGACCAGGGGTGGGCTCTGTGGTCCGTAGATGGGTTGGTGAAACGGCCAGGCACACTGGCCCGGGCACTGAGTCTCCGAGTTACCAACCCAGATGTAGGCAAACTTGTAATTCTTGCCCTTAATTTGGGCAGATTTGGAAGACCCGTGCGTCCCGCACCTGCTGGAGCAGAACCCATCAACGATCACATCGGACGATGTTAACACAACGTTGATGGCGTTGTTCTGATCGCCCTTCGCTGCCAACCGTTCGATCTGTTGACTGGTGAGTGATTTACCCATCGAGTAATTCTCATCCAGTACTTGATTGCCCGTAGAGAGGACCAGAGCAGAGGCTTTCTTGGAGTTGATCAGACGGTTGTAGTAGTATTTCTCGGTGTTCTTCCACCACGTGGCGACTGATGGTTGGTCTGTCGTGGGTTTGGAAGTTGAAGATAGGGAGGCAATGAAATCTGAGATAATTGCTCGTTGTGAAGGCTTGAAGTTGCCATACCAAATGAGATTGATTGAAATTTTGCCACTCAAAAGAGGGCCATTGTGGTATTGGAAGATATATGGGTTCTGATCTTGGGTTGACTCAGTGAGTCGCCTCGCTGCAGAGGTGAAACAGAAGAGAGAAAATAATAGGACTAGTCTTGTAACTAGATGGGTACTAGCAAATGAAGCCATTGTTGATTTTTCTGAATGAGCTTGTGAGTAGTAATGGGTTTTTGTTTTTGGTATGTTTACAAGTATGGAGATACTGGCATATATATATGGAGTGTTGAGGGTGTTAGGAAGTGAGAGTAGAGAGAAGCTACCAGGAAAGAGAGAAAAAGTGGAACATGGGGGTGAAGTGTGGTGAGGGTAACAACTCAGCTTGAGAACGCGGTGTTTTTTAATGATGAATCTAACAGCTTTAAAGCAGCTAAAGGTGTAAATAAAGAAGTTTGGTCAATTGAGGTAGGGTTCAAAAAGACAGCGTGTTCTTGAATCCAAAGTTTCTTTCTACCCACCGTCATCCAATTTCTTTATCTGTCATGTTGGATAAGGCATGTTACTTGGGATGGTATGCGGTTTGAACGAGGTTTGTTGCATATCATTTTAAAAAAAAAATTGAATCAAAATTTATTTTGTAAATTTATTAAATGAAAGTTAAATTTGTATTAATATTATATAAATTTGAGTAAAATTTGAATCAAAATTGAAGATCATCTTATAAAAGGAGACTTGCAAGTCTCTTTAAAGCCATTACTACATTGGAAGTAAATGAAAAACTATTTTGTTCATCCATTTCCTCTAATAGTGAGTGGATTCATAAAGTGGATTGACTTCATTCGTCAAAGGGAACAGTTGTGTTCATCAAGTAAACTAATAAAATGTTTTTGCCTCTCTTGCCTCCCCTTTTGTTTTAGAGGGATATACGGGGATTACACTTCTCATGTTTTATTAGTATAACTTTATTTCTCATAGCCAAATTGATAAATACAATGAATTTCAGGTGAATTTTTTTAATATTTAACCATTAGACCATCTCCAACGGTGAACCAAACCTGGCATCAAATTTAAAATTTGGTGAAAAAGTCACTTTTTTAAACTTCAACGTTTTCACCAAATCGATATCAAATTCAGAATTCAGCAAAAATGGTACCAAACTGAGTGCAGGCGAAGCATTTCACCAAATCACTGTTCCTAATAGAGATGGCAATTTAAACCCGGCCCGACGGGGACCCGATCCCCCGACCCCGATTAGAACGGGTTTTCCCCGAAAATTATCCCCATAGGGCCGGGGATGGTATTAAAAATTAAATCCCCGACAGTTTTCGGGCCGGGGACGGGGATAAATATCTCGGCCCGGCCCCGACCCCGGCCCGAATTATCACCGAACAATTCCCCGAATATTCTCCACGTTTATATAATATATGTTTGTTGTCTTCCTTCACTCTCATTCACTAATATCTCAGCCTCTCTCTCTCTCTCTCTCTCTCTCTCTCTCTTTTTCTCTCTCTGCGCAGCAACCACTCACAGCATCGGCGACGACCTCCCACCTCCCATTACCACCGATCTCCCTTCTCCCTCTTCCCATCACCGTCGATCTCCCTCATTCCTCCTCCCATCACCGCCGATCTCCCTCCTTCGTTGTCCTGTCTTTGGCGAGACTGTTAGGGTTTCCAATCTCTCTCTCTCTCCATCCAAAATTTTGCCTAGGTGGTCGACCATCCGGTCGACCGGCCGGTTGACCACTCGGTCGACCACCAAAAGTTCAAAAAGTTCAAAAAAAAAGGTTCAAACCGGTAAAAAAAAAAAAAAAAAATTTGCCGTTACCGATTGACCGGCCGGTCGACCAACCGGTTGCCCAGCACAAATTTGATGAAACGGATTTGATGTTGAACCGTTGGAGCGCGAAGTATCAAATTAAGGAAATGACCCATTTTTGACTCAGATTTGGTGAAACATTTGGTACACCGTTGAAGATGCTCTTAGTGTAGTATATCACATCAATCATGCTGGGGACCCTGGGGGCGACCCAAAGCACCCCCACCTCCACGTGGGGGGCTCCAAGTGGTAGAGAAAAAAAAAAAGAAAAAGAAGAAGTAGTTATGGACCAATCAAAAAACAATGGGGGTGGTGGGGTCACCCCCACTTGAGTCTCATGTATTTTTCATATCACATTATATAATAGATAAAAGTGAGAAATATAAAATTATTATACTCAAAATTAGTAAGCAAATAGATTTGAGATAGTTTTAAAGAAAAATCATCAATCAATCCATCCTGAAGAATTTGAGAATTTTTTATAATGCTACCAAACCACTAGTCAAGATTGACAATTTAGTTGAATATTTTAGCAGATTTAAATTAAGGACTTAAGCGATTGAATGAGTTAAAAATACAAACCATCCCCCTAAAGTTTTTTACAATTTCAAAAAAATATTTATTTACTTGTTTTAGATCTTGACACAAAACTTACAAATTAATCGAATGCATAGTGTTATTTAAAATCATATTTTACAAATTAATATACACAACAATCAAATTAGAAAAAAATAATAATAATAATAATAAATTGGGTTGGAAATGAGAGGTATATGTATCTGATTAATGGCATTAAGGCTAGGATGAGATTGTAGGTAGATAGGTGCAAGTTAATTTTGCTTATACATGTAGGCGTATTGACAAACTTTTTAACCTGCATGTTGTGTTTCCTGGCCCGCTAAGCCTAATTAGGCCTGAGTTACTTCATATTTAGACAATTGAGAATTAATCGTTACAGGCTCTAAAATTAATGATTGGACAAATAAAAGATTCGAACTTAAGATTTTAAATCTTATCTCCATCTTTCAATTAAACCGATTAACCCAACCCGACATGGCAGTTAGTCCAATGATTCATGTAGCTGTAGTGAAAAATTCAAAGGTTTAGAGGGTTCAAGTCAATTGAGTGACTGAAACTCTTTCGTTGTAATCTAATTTATCTAACTCCCTAACATCATATCATATGACAAAAAATAAAAAATAAAAAGACTAATCCAATCTACTCACCTTCTCAATTTTAATCAACGGATTGGGGTTTTTTCCCGCACCCCTAGTCTAAATAATTTGGGATACTATGATGAAGCACCACGTATGAAGGAGATGATGACCAAGATGCCAGCTGATTAACGCGTTGCTTTTTGAGGTATAGCCATAATAATTGTGTGGAACTTACTAGCTCGGTCTCTCTCACATGTTACTATTGTCACTAATTGACCACAAAGAGACAACAGTACTCACTGGATGATCTCTGGACCAGAACACAAAGCATATGAGGATGAAAAAACTAGAACGTTTCTACTGCTCTCTATTATTGCTATCAACACAGCTTTTTTATTTTTGTTTTCTGCAAGTTGTCCCAAGAGCTCCAGATGTAACACTTAAATGGTGGACCCCTGTGGGACTCAGGTTAGAGCTGACAGAGATATTAGACCCAAAAAAAAATGGTAATGGTAATGGCTAAGGGCTATCTCACTACAAGAAAATACACAATTGACGATCACTTTTGCCGACTAAAAATATTTTGGTTGCCAAAAGTTGTGGAATTGGCGATCAAAAATTATGTTAGTCGGTAAAAGTACAATATTTACCTACTAAATTTTTTTAGTCGGGGTATATTAATTTTTGGCGACTGAAAAAAAATTTAGTCGCTAAAAATCTCACAATTAGCGACTAAAAAAAATTTAGTCGCTAAATTTGCCACAATTGGCGACTAAAAAAAATATTTTTGTCGCTGTATATATAGTTTTGGCAACTAAAATAATTTAGTCGCTGAAATAAAAATAAAAAATTATTTTTTATCTTTCGCGACAAAAAGTTTGGTCGGCAAAACCTTAATTTCAGCGATTAAAAATTATTTTGGTCGCGGTATATATAGTTTTGGCAACAAAAATATTTTCATCACTGAAAGAAAAATAAAAAATTATTTTTTATCTTTTGCGACCAAAAGTTTGGTCGGCAAAACCTTAATTTCAGCGACTAAAAATTTGTTTGGTCGCGGTATATATAGTTTTGCCAACAAAAATATTTTCGTCGCTGAAAGAAAAATAAAAAAACTAAAAATTATTTTGGTCGTGGTATATATAGTTTTGCCCACTAAAATATTTTCGTCGCTGAAAAAAAAATAATAAATTATTTTTTATCTTTCGCGACCAAAGGTTTGGTCGGCAAAACCTTAATTTCAGCGACTAAAAATTATTTTGGTCGCGGTATATATAGTTTTGCCCACTAAAATATTTTCGTCGCTGAAAGAAAAATAAGAAATTATTTTTTATCTTTCGCGACCAAAAGTTTGGTCGGCAAAACCTTAATTTCAGCAACTAAAAATTATTTTGGTCGCGGTATATATAGTTTTGCCAGCTAAAATATTTTCGTCGCTGAAAGAAAACTAAAACATTACTTTCACTCATCACTCTTTCTCTCTCTCTCTCTCTGTGTCTCTCACTTATCTATCTCTTCTCACATCTCTTTTCTCTCTCTGTCTCTTTCTTTCATCTCTCTTCTCTCCATCTGTCTTGCTCATCTCTCTTCTCTTGCTCTCTCGTATCTCTCTCTCATCTCTCTTCTCTCTCTCGTTCATCTCTTTTCTTTCTATCTCTCTCTCTCTATCTCTCTCGTTCATCTCTCTGTCTCTTTCACTCATATCTCTTATCTCTATCTCTTTCTCTGTCTCGCTCGTTAATCTCTCATCTCTCTCTGTCTCTTTTTCTGTCTCTCACTCTCTATCTCTTTCTCTCTTTGTCTTTCTCTCTCTCTCTCGCTCATCTCTCTTCTCTCTATCTCTCTTATCTTTTTTCTTTCTCTATCTCTCTTACTCATCTCTCTTCTCTCTATCTCTTTCTCTGTCTCTCTCGCTCATCTTTCTTCTCTCTTTTTCTATGTTTTTCACTCGATCATCTCTTTTCGCTCTCTTTCTCTCTCTTTCTTTGTCTATCTGTTACTAATTTTTGTTTCTCTCTGTCTCTATCTCTATCTCTATCTCTTTTTTTCTCTCTCTCTCTCTATTTCTTTCTCTATCTCTATCTCTTTCTCTCTCCGTCTCTCTCTCACTTATCACTCTTCTCTCTCTCTTTCTCTCTCTATTATTTATTATTATAATTTTACTTTTTATTTATTATCCTTTTGGAGGGATTTTTAAATTAATTTGGTGAGGAACTCTAGAGGGATTTCAAACACACTAAAATGAGTTAGGGCTTAAACACGTCTCTCTCTCTCTCTCTCTCTCTCTTTCTCTCTCTCTCTCTCGCATCTGCTCTCTTTCGATTCTCTCACGCCTCTGTCTCTCCCATTCCATCACTCACTCTCTCTCTCTCTCACGCCGATTGCCCTTCTCCTGATATTGAATCTCTGTCGCTTTGTTTCCATCGTCGTCGGGTAAGGAGCATCACTGCCATCGAGCACCACTGTCGATCCACTATTGGACCATTACCCTAGTATGTCTCCACCTGCTCTCATTCCTCTATCTCGTTTGTTCAGATTCCAATTTCACATTTCTTTTTCTTTTTCTTCTTCTTCTTCGTCTTCTTCTCTTTCTCTCTCTCACATTTTCCTCGTAATCTCTCTCATGAATTTGCTTTCAGCCATTGAAAGCTTCACCTAAACTTTTAATCTCTCTTTCATCTATTTCAATATGTGTGTTGCTTGAATTGATCAAAACTACATTACTTGTCAATTTTATATAATTTTACGAAGGATATGACTAGCTTGTTTGGTTTGGATTTTCAGTATTCACCTTTCAGAAAATTAATTTTTTTTATTTTCCATATTTTTTTATTTCCAATAAATGTTATATTCTAATGTTTTTTAAAAAATTTCGATATACTAAACATAAATACACTTTAAAAGTATAATATTTGTGAAAAAATATTTTAAAAATTCACTGCATACTAAAAATAAATTTTTTTTTGAGAAATCATTACATTTTTTGTATTCTTGTGTATTTATTAATTTTTTAAAATATTTTTTGACAAATATTTTAATTTTTTGATACATCTAAGTAAGGTAAATCTAAACAAATCTAAAAAAATGCTTAAAATTTTAAAAATATTCACCAAAAGTAAAAATAAAAATCTCAAATTTCAAAAAATTAAAACCAAAAATTCAAAAAAATATTTTCCAAAAAAAAATCAACCAAACAGCACCTAATATTTTATCTTCCTCCCAAATTCGCCATTGTTCAAATTTCCCTCTAAACTATCTCATTTCGGCGCCTCTGTTACCTTATCCCCAAATCTCTCTAAAGGTTCACAGCGACGCAATCGTGAGCGATCCACAGTGAGTCCTAGGCCGAGATCACACCATCGTGAGCAATCCACAGCGACGCAATGGCTTCCAAATCCTACAACAAGATCACTGATATCTACGACGACCTCATCCTTCAGGTACATACACTAACCCTCCTATTCCATGATTGATCTCTCTTCTTATCAAACCCTAATCCTACGACGTTTCTCCTGCCTCGTATCTCTCTCTCTCTCTTTCTCTCTCTCCTTGATCTCTACGCCGTCTCACCGAGCTTCAAGCAGTTCGATTTCGTCTAAAGGTTCGATCGATTTCAATATCTCTTTCTCTCTCTATTTCAATCTGTGTGTTGTTTGTATTGGTTTAGCTTTAATAAAACTGATCTGATTTGGTGTATGAAAGCTATGAATTGTGGTTTTTGATTCTATCTTAATAGTTTTTCTTTTATTTTCTTAGGAAGCTGTTTGCAGAATAATTTCATTTCCTGAACAGGTTGTGCATTTCAGACAACGCCTTTATCAGGAAGCTGTTTACAGAATAATTTCATTTCCTGAACATTGAATGCCTAGATGATTTTCCCTTTTGAATTTTTCAGCCTTGTGCATTTTCATGGAGTCTTCTAAGTTCTATTGCTCTGAACATTGAGGCATTCAAGTCGAAATTGATAAAGATAATAAGTTTGAGCAATGTTTAGAAAATTTCTATATAATGCTGTGTCACAGGTTGTTAAGGTGGCTGATTTTGGAGTTGCTAGAGTGAAATCTCAAACTGAAGTTATGACGGCAGAAACTAGGACATATCGATGGATGGCTCCTGAGGTGGGAAAAGTTTTGGAACCTTTTCTGTTCAAAAGTGGTTGTATGTTTTGTTATTGATATCTTCCCTCTCTGATCGAGATTGCAGAAATTAAATTATGTATGTGACTCTAGATGTTATAATTGTTTCATCTGTATGATTTTGATTATAGCTATGATTGGGACGTGGATGCCATTTACTTAGCATTTACTTTGCCTAGGCTTCAAGGTCTGATTTTTAATCAGGTCACTCCCAGTATATATTTTACAAAAATCTGGTTGTTAGCTGGCTGTGATGTCCCTATAGGGTAAATAATAGCGAAGGGAGGAAAAGAAAGAACATACTTCCAACACGAATTTGTTTCGGATCTCTCTCTCTCACACACACACACACACACACACACACACACACGCACGCACGAACACGCTGAATTGTTTGGTGATTTAATATGGGCAATGATTTATGTCCAATACAAAGTGGCTGGATCTGTAGGTTTTGTTGGGTTGTTATAGGGTGGCCACACTGGTGCTTGAGTTTGGAAAAATCTAAGAAAAGAGTTATGAAGCAGTAGTGAAGACATAAACATGATTTAGTAGCCAAATAAAATCCATCATTTGCTTGCTACTTTTTCATTACAAAAATGTTAGGGACTCCAAATATTCTATCAAAAATGCTACCAAACTCTCGCATGGCTGTGGGTCCCACACCCCTATGAGTTTTGGTAGATTATTTTGTATGCTTATCGTTACTCTTTTCTTTAATGTGAATGGGTAATGAAAGTAATTACTTTATCTGTCTGGTAGTTATGCATTTTTATTGGGGGATTGATTTTTTTGTGTATTTGCTTATGATTGTTCTTTTGCATTGAAGGTTATAGAACACAGGCCCTATGATCACAAGGTTGATATTTTTAGCTTCGGGATTGTATTGTGGGAGTTGCTAACCGGAAAGGTACATTGTTTTGTGTGACAACTATTGGATTTTTGTATTTCAAGCTGTTTGTATAGTTATATTCTATTTAACCCCATTCAGATGATGGGTGAGGGAGAGAGAACAGAGAACCAGACGTGTTCTAATTCTTCAAAGAACAAATGGTCATTGAATTTGAAAATACAAACAATCAAGACTCCAGTAAAGAGACCTCCCATTGAGGATAGAACACCTGAGAGGTGCTTAGATCCTCAAAAGTTAGAGGTATAAGCTCAAATTAACACCAAATTTCATTTCGTTAAGAGTCAAGTCTCTAGATTGCTGTGGAATGAACACGGGCTTTTTGTATTTCCAGCTAGAATGCAGAGTTACAGACCATGAAAGTGCAGAAGTGACAACTCCTATTATTTCCTTTTCTTTTATATTGCAGAAGTGACAACTCATAATTGGTTCCACCTTTTCTTTTAGATTGCATAGCATTTTGCATCACTTCCATTTGTTTCCTTTCCACTTTCCTTCTGTCATATTGAACTTTTTGCATATTTTTCATTCTTGCATTGGACAGGCGAAAGGAATTTTGGCCCATCCACTCATTTCAAGCCTTTATTCCTAGTCTTGTCTTTAAGCCTTATACAACCTTCATTGGACACGCAAAAAGAATTTTGTTGATTTATAATTGCTTAGCATAAAGTGTCTTGCTCTCTCATAATTTTTGAATTACTTGGATTGACATGTGTTTTCATGCAGCTGTCCCAATTACTTGGCTTTTGAACAATCATTTCTTCTTCCTAGTCATCCTTAACGAGTCCAAAATGTTTATTTAATTATTTATTGATATTTTTTTTTCCTCTCTTCTTGTGTAGCTGGAAAAGGAGATAATAGAACTGACTCTGCAACGAGACGTTGCTCAATCTCAGGTTCAGGATTTGCTACGATTGGCTGGGGATGAAGATTCAATGGTATGGCTAAATGTTAGTTAGTTAATTGAATCTTCCATTCTATCTTCATGTGCCTTGTCCTGTTAAGTTTCCTTCTTCTTTCCTCTTCCAGGTAGGTTTGAATAACTACCCTCACTTGCGAGTTCAGAAATCGCCAGATTCTGGAAATGCAACATCAAAAGCATCCCTTTCATCATATCCTCACTTCTTGGATGTTAGTGTCAGAGCATTTGACAGATCTCTGTCTTCTTATGGACATGTGAGTAGTTTTGTTGATCACTACATACAAATTCCCAACTTTGAAGAAAACTTTCAGCAGAATGATGCTTCTCCACACCTATTGGTCACTACTGCTAACTTTATTAGAAGCAATTCCGCAAATAGTTGGGACGAGATTGAGGAACAAACTAACGGAACTTCAGAGGATTTATGCAAGGACGTTCGATGCATTGAGACGGTAAGTACAGACCAAAATTCAGAATCCTATAGATCATCCCCTGAAGAAAATACCAGAATCTCAGAATTGATGATGGATGAGAATGGAGACAGAATGGATCAGGAAGACAGAACAGATCAGGAATTTGTGTCACAGCCAAATGAGGAAGATAGAGGGTTAAGTTACATCCCTCATTTCGTTGCTCCTTCTCCTAAAATAACATCTCCGTGGCCGTTAAGAAAGTATACATGTAGCTCTCAAAGCTTGCAATTAACTAGAAGTAGCAGTTGTAAAGAAAGTTTAATGACTAGACCATATTCACCATTGTTTGAGAAGGTAGAAAATAATGAGAACACACCACCAAATGGGTTTGAGAGAGTCTCCACCCGAAGACCGTGCCCCCTCT